AAATCTGGATGAACTTTCTCGGCCAATGCAGGGATCGAACACCCGACCTCCAGGCTAGCGAGCTAGCGTCTTACCCACTTAGCCACGTGATCCCCTATAGCAATGTTAATAAATGGTTGTGTAGGCCCGTATTTCTTTTGTCATTCTTTTTCTTTATATATTATTCTATTAAACCATTCATATTGAACCGCCATACTATCCTTCCCGTGTAACTAGATATGTGATTCCCAACCTTAATGATAATTTATTTTGATAATATTAAGGCATCCAGTTATTTTCCATGACTAGTGATCCAATTTGGCGCAACTAACTTAACATTTCATTGTCGATTTTGAGATCGCTTCATATATTTTATATGACACATGGGGGGGGGGGGCTACATTTTAGAAGGTATATTGAAGTTTAGAATCTTCCATTAGATTTCTCTCAGTGGTTCTTTTCTCTTCCAGTTTATTTCACGCAGCTGATTTACCGTTAAATGTGTCCGCATTCGCACTGAAATGGTTTAAAGTTATGGTGGGTTTTTAAATTTTTGGCTCTCAGTCTTGTGATTAGCCCTCCATTTTTGCGCTTTGTAAAGACCCCCACTAGAACGTTTTTAATGTGAATCATCTAAAAGTATTTGCTCTGGCCAACTCATTTTTCCATTCTCATTTAATTTTAGTTTTAACAATGCTATTAAATTCCTGAAGCTATATTTTAAGTCTTCGGTTGATAAGTAGAGCAACACATCAATTTATACTTAAATTGGTACTCAAAGTAACTGAATATCAATTTATTCTATCAATTTACAATATTATGTCGTTCTATAATTAAATACCAGTAGTTTTATTGGCATGGTTTAAAGATATACTATCGCTAAAGATGCCTAAACATGTAAAGGGGAATTTAAGGAGAACTAGATAATTCGACGAATTATGAGAGAGCTCTTACCTCTTTAAGAGGTGACATCTGTTTTTTCATATTAATCTCTTATTAAACTAGCTTAGTGATTAGTAGTATATGTGTGATTATCAACTCACGGGACACTTCAGCGAGATACAATAGAGATCAAATAATGGAATTAAGAGATTGTAACCATTTATACGTCCACATTTTAATGTGGACGCATATTGTCGTCGCCCCAGTCCGTCCGTCCACAATTAGTTTGTGGACACTCAACAGGTCACAATTTTTATCCGATTTTGAGGAAACTTGAAATATAGGTCTATCTCCTAAAGATCTCCGTTTCTTTCGATATTGGCATGTATCGGACCATAAATTCATGGATTATGGCCCCTGATTGTACGATTTTGATGAAACTTGAAATGCATGTTATAACCCAAATATCTCGTTTCCTGTCGATATTAACGCATATCGGATTGTAACTTTCTGAATTACAGCCCCTGATTGTACGAAAAATCGCGTGTATAGCTTGTGGTCCCTCTAGAGTTCACAATTATGATCCGATTTTTAAAAAAAACAACTTTTGAATATATCACCGTTACACCGTAATTTTGGTTGAATTCAAATTTCATGAAATTCGGACCAAAACTGCTGGACAAAATGGCCGCCCCTCGTACACAAATAGTGTAAACATCTGGTATATAAAGGTTTTGGACCCTCTAGAGCTCACTTTGATCAGATTTTGATGAAACTTGGCTCCTTTCGATATTCGCGCATATCGGATCGTAACTTCCTAAATTATGGCCCCAGATTGTACGAAAAATCATGTTTTTATAGCTTGTGGTTCCTCTAGAGGTCACAATTTTGATCCGATATTAATGAAACTTGAAACACATGTTGATAACCCACAGATCTTAGTTCCTTTCGATATTCGCGCATATCGGACCGTAACTTCCTGAATTATGGCCCTTGATTGTACACAAAATCACGTTTTATCCCCTCGTACGGAAATAGTGTAAACATCTGGTATATCAAGGTTGTGGACCCTCTAGAGATCACAATTTTGATCCGATATTAATGAAACTTGAAATACATGTTGATAACCCACAGATCTTAGTTCCTTTCGATATTCGCGCATATTGGACCGTAACTTCCTGAATTATGGCCCTTGATTGTACAAAAAATCACGTTTTTAGCTTGTGGTCCCTGTAGAGGTCACAATTTTTATCCGATTTAAAAAAAACGTGTGAATATATCACCGATACACACTAAGATCTTGGTTCGTTTTGATAATCGCGCATATCCGAACGTAACTTCCTGGATTATGGCCCCTTAATGTTCGAAAAATCGCATTTTTAGCTTCCGGATTACCTGGAGGTCACAATTTTTTTTCAGATTTTAAAAACCGTTTAAATATATCACCATTTCACCATAATGAAGACTGAATTCGAATTGTGGGAACATCGAAATTGAACTGCCCGACAAAATGGCTGCCGTTTGTACGCAAATTGTGTAAAAGTATGTATATGAAGGTTGTGGACCCTGTAGAGGTCACAATTTTTATTCGATTTTCATGAAACTTAAAACATACTTTCAAATCCTAAAGATATCAGTTCCTTTTGATATTTTCGCATTCCAGACCATAACATTCTGGAATATTGTCCCTGATTGTACAAAATTCGCGTTTGTTTTTAGATTGTTCTCTATCCATCACTTGCAAAATATGGGCGTATCCTGCCTGGCAGCCGCTGGTTCATTCAAGTGAACAGTTTTTAAACTCAATCCCAAAATCAATTGTGAGATGCACAAACCATTAAGAAGGAAAATGAAATCAAATGTGACAAATAATAATGATAATTTATTACAGTCAACGAATAAATGTGCAATTATCACAAAGACATACGAATGATAAAACAAGCATCCCACACGGATCAAATCAGGATAATTTATTACAAATATCCCTTGTTAACCACTCGGACTTACGGAGCAAAACAGAAGGACGTCAAACCATTTCATTTCATTAAAGTTTTGTTTATTAAATGTCCGTTCGGCAAGAAATAAAACTGTTGAATTATGTGAATACATAATTAATCATTCATGATCTTGGATAGTATTAACTTCACAAGCTTTGAACTGCTTCAGACACGTGTAGAATGTAGTAGCGATGTGATTCATCTGATCAGTATATACCGTCCTCCCTATCGACCAAACATAAGGTAACCACTGGTTGTTGATTGATGGGGATTTCAACCTCCATTTAAACAAATCCAAGGACATAAAATCCAACCTGTTCTGCGATCTTCTGAATTAATGTAATCTTCAACAACACGTTAAGGTATCGATACACTGGAAGGGACATACCCTTGATATACTTATCATCAGACTTAATGATGATCTTCTCCGCAGCCATGATGTCAATCTCTGATCATTATTTATAGTATTTTCGGAACCTTGTCATTGGCAAAAAGCAGGGTTATTATAGAAACAATTGTTTTCCGGGAAACTAAAGAAAATGACGTAAATTGGTTCTGTCAATACATTCTGCCATTAAATTTACAAACCCAGATTGTAAATTATATGATATTTAAACACAAGTACCGCTTTACGATTCTGCTCTGAGTAAAATTTTTAACGATCATGCGCCTTTAAAATCAAACACTCTGGCTATTCGATCAAATATGAAGTGGTAAACCACTGAGATATTAATTTCAAAACAGGCAAACGTTCTGCTGAAAAACTATGGAGGAAAACCAACTTGGAAATAAACAGGGAGATATATATAACAAATAAACCGATAAAACAGGCTAAAATATCTTATGCTGAAATGAAATGAAAGGAAGACGGCCATACGCATGCAGTGTGCTATGAGGAAAATTTTGCCCGGGCAGCGGCACAATGGCCTACACTTATATTGAATTCAAACTGTCAGGGGATCTTTAACGTGCACCCTGCACGACTGTGGAGGAACCGAGCCGGAAAATCCCTATGAACTTTCTTGGCCAATACATGGATGGAACATGCGACTTCCAGGCTAGCGAGCCAGCGTCTTACCCACTTAGCCACTGTGGCTCCCTATCTTATGCTAATATTCGATTTCAGCTTGAGTATTCTGGCACAGCATCTCCTCCAGACAGTGAGTTTTTCACAGGACCTGTGATAACTAAGTTTGAACCATTATCAGATACTGAAATTTCCAAAATTATTGGAAAATCTGTAAATAAATCTTGTGACCTTGACCGACTTGGTTAATAAAGTCATGCTCATCGTCGATGTCTCCTATGAAGTTGTAGCTTTCAGATTCAATGATCATATTACACAGAACAAACGATATTGTTATTCCGATTAAACATCGTTTTGAGATCGAAGACATTGTACTACCATGGTTCACGACTTATATGGATTGTCGGGAACAACTAGTAAATATCCATAACAGGCTGAAATACGGTGTGCCGCAAGGTTCGGACCTGGAACACAACACTAGCTTCCAGCTTTACGCGGATGTATGGGATCTTGGTGTAAATTTCGACTCTGCACTGAACATGAAATTTCTAGAGGGGTACAGAAAATAAACAGCGATCTGGTCTGGTGAAATATTGGGAACCCATTTTGCGTTTATGTCATGTCTTTAATAGTTGGTACACTACGTTGTAAAGATAATATTGGTTTGTTTCGTAACGGCAATCAAAGTTATATGCTATTTAAACTTTTATTCAGCCTTCTGACAATATTAAGCAAATGATACTGAAAGAGACCGTCCTACAGCAATAGTATTTACAGGAATGGTATTTGACACGCTCGATTAGCTTATATTTTCTATTACACCACAACGACACACAATCGTACATATGTTCACGCGAGCATAATTACGTCCTTTTTGAGACCTACACAACTTATTGTATGAAACTATAATGTTAATGAACTAAAAAAAATTACTCAAATTTATAATATACACTCCTTTAAATAAAATAAGATAATTATCAGACTATTGCTTTAGTCGCATATTGCATGGAAGTAAGTTAACTATATCTGGAGACAGCCGTGATGCAAAATTCATAATGTCAAGATTTTAAAATGCAGAATAAATGAATTTTGATATCTATTCTTGATTCAGGTGGTTGAATATCTTTTGGATCGATCCAGCCAGCATCATATAGATGAAGCGGTTCTTCAGGCTATCAACGCTGGACATGTCCAGATCGCTGAGACAATACTTAAACACCCACGTTATCTTGAAATGTGGCGGGAAAGACGAAAAATAAGTGATACGGATGGCTTCGTCAAAAAAGTGAATTTAGCAGAGTCACAGTTTTCACCAGATATTACCCCTCTTATCCTAGCTGCACAGAAAAATATTTACGAAATTGTTCAGCTACTACTTTTACGTGGGGAATTGATTCAGAAACCGCACAAGTTTACATGTTCGTGTACGGAATGTCAGAATAAAACAGAGGTTGATCATTTGAGGTTGGCCAAATATAGACTGAACGCATATAGTGGGCTGGCCAGTGAGGCATATCTCTCCCTGCACTCCTGTAAAGACCCTATTCTGTCAGCATTTGAACTTGCTAAAGAATTACGAAAATTATCCAAAGTGGAGAAACATTTCAAGGTATTAAACTTTATTTTGTATTTATTTTATAATCTATGTTCACTATTGCACAAATTGAGGAACCAAGAGGGCTACGACATTTTGGTTTTGTCTTATGCAGTTTACCAAAATTACTATAAAATCAAATATAGTAAAAGATGAATCAAATGCAGACTATGGGGGCGTAGAGGGGTCAATAGCACGAAAGATATCACGATATTAATGAGGTAATATTATGTCTACATATTGTGAATGTTGCGATGATTTTACGCCTCAAAAGACAAGATTCTGGAGTAAATTTGTTGGCAATACTTCAGAATTGCAACATCTTAACGCAAATGTACACATTTAAAACGATCGAAGACATACAAAAATGAACAGTTGATTCAATTAACGCAACAAAAATTGTTATTTCAGGGGTAAACTTATCTCAACGACCACAATATGTTGACATATTACCTTATTTATATCGCAGCAAAAATCGTTATTTTAAGGGTAAAATTAACTTAACGACCGCAATATGATGACACATTACATTATTAATATCGCGATTTCTGTCCTGATATTGATCCCTATATACTTACCTACTGAACAGATGACATAAACCGAGTTAATTGAATCAACGCGCTATGGTGTATGTCGTTTTTCTTTTTAAATGGCCACGTTTGCGTTAAGGTATTGCTATTCTGAAGCTATGTCGACATATTCCATTTCGCCGTATTATATTTCGACATGTTCGTAAAATATCGCCATGCGCTATGTCGACATAATTGGAGACTTTTGGCAGGTGGAATTTTTCCCATCCGTATCACGTATCCGTATTGCGTCAATGTAGTTTTAGAGTTTTGGTAGATTTTCGCGCCGCGTACGTATAATTAGATGAGCAGAGCTTAGTTCTATTACAGCATGATGGCAGTTATCTACCAAGATCACCATCGGTACTAGTCAAGTGCCTAAACGTACGAATACCTGGAGTGAGTAAAGTCACTTGGCAGTCGCTGAGCTATTAAATTAAATATAATGACGAATCTAATTTAAAAAATCTTCGAATTAGACTCGACAGCACTTTTTGGTTTCATTAATGTATCATCTAAAAGAGTGTATACCTCTTTTTCCATAGAATCACATCATTTACAGATTTACAAGATCCCACCTCCCTAAATTTAGCACTTAGATCAACCAACATGTGGAGAGACAGACGGGGAAAATATGTAAAATAATGATTAAATTCCAGTCTGTATCATGGTTAAGATCACCTTCGTGTTCTAGGATACACATAGATTCATAAAAACGCCAAGGCGCAACATTTCAGCGTCTAAAAGTAGCAAAAATGACGAGGATGTTATACGGACCTTTTCCGGATGAAAGCTGTTCGATACGTGCACGGTGCCGTATCACGTATGAGAAATACACACACATTAATGACGTCACACGCAAAATCGATACGAACACGCGATACGGACCAGGAATTTACGCTTGCCAAAAGTCTCTAATACAACTCAGTGCGTTGATTCAATCCACGCGACAAGACAGTCCATATGTTGACATATTATTACCTTATTAATATCGCGGTATCCATTGCACTATTGACCCCTATAAATCTATTTCTTAATCTCACACTAAGATTCTGTTAATGATTTACAAGTAACGTTCCATGAATTGATCTTTAAATTCTACAAAATAAAATCTACACCAATACACAATATGTCCCGAACGTATTTATCTAGAAAAACGACATACCTTATGTACCGTTTTTTTTTTTTTTTTGTATGACGTCACCTTATATTAGTGTTTTGAATGTTATCACAATTGGTGGTTAACGCTTTTCATCTCTGCAGGACAGAGGGTCTAGCAAGGGACAAGGCATAGTCGTTCGGATAGGACGAAAACTGAGATCACATGTACACATTGGCGTACACGTAATAGATCTCTTGGCAGTTAGAATTCATGATAAGAGTAGGTTTTTAAGCCGCTGTCCGGGCAAAATTACCCGCATAGCACACTCTATGGAGTATGCTCATCTCCATTAGCCCAGTCGGAGCAGAACTGCAGGACGTTAAACCCCATTTCTTTTTCATTTCATTTCTCCTTTAACGACATTAATTTTAAATATACTGGTGTGTAATTCACAAAAACTTATACTAAAATATCTTAGGAAATCAGCATTTTCATTGCCAAGAGTTAAGATGTTAAATCTCAACCTATGAAATGGTTGCATCATTAAAATATCGTGACTGTTACGATCTTTCAGAAAGAATACAAGGAGCTAGCAGAGCAGTTAAGTGAGTATGTTATGAAGTTATTAGACAGAATTAGAACCCAAGAAGAACTGGAAATGGTATTAAATAAAACTGGTCAAAGTAATCAGGAGAAATATGAGAGCTTAGCCAGATTTAAACTAGCATTACGCAATCACGAAAAGGGAGTAAGTACATTTCTGTTATTTCTGGATACGGAACAACTTGATTAAAATTACATGTACATGTTTTTCAATGCGTTTCGTTTTATATTCCCCATCTTATAATACATCGGACTCAGTTTTACTTACCCATTGACGAGATTTATCAATGTGGCCTGTTTTAGACCCTGTAATGTAAACATATATTTGGAAGCAGAGAGTAATCCCGTTAAGAAAAAGAAGAAGCCGCCCTAACGGGAGCCGCCTAAATATATTCCAGACCGAGACTATGAGGGATCTCGGGTTTTTTTACAATTCGAACAACTGCTGCTTCTTATCAAACCCACACTTGAAAAGCACTAGGAACAGTGCCGGACTGTCCGTGACAGGTGGGCCTAAGCTCATTAAAAAGAAAAAAAAGAAAGAAAGGAGAGGGAGAGGAAAGAAAAGAAAGAAGGAAGGAGATAATGATAGTGCTCTTAGGTCATTCTGTTATCTAATTATATCAGGAAATCAAAAATTTGCATTCTTCTGCTTTGGTCTGAAATGCTTGGAAAATGGGTTTGCGGTTGTCAATTTTCAAAATTTTCATTGGGGACCCCCCCCCCCCCCAGAGACCCCCTCGGACGCTCTAGCGCCTTCGGCGTCTTTGTGTGGGCCTTGGTCAATGACCTGACAGGTGGGCCTTCGTACCACCAGTCCGGCACTGACTAGGAACATTCCCAACATACACTAGGTCGAACTGGGTGCTTTTTGGTTAGGGATTAAGCTCGAAACGAAATAAAGATTTATTATTTTAATTAGACTGGGGTTAAAGTGCCCAAGCAAAATACACCAATACCATTGAACGCTGATTGCCAGTCAAATTTTAATTTAAAAAAGATCGGCTATAATTATTGTTTTGTTTGGTGATTATCAAAATTTCGCGGAAAGGCATACTCTAACCAAATATCCTACGACTGTCATTGGTCGGATAATTATATGATACTCGGTCCTCGTATAGCTAACTAAAATGAAATGAAGTGGGGGTTAACGTCCTACTGCTCTAGTCCAACTGGGATAATGAAGACGGACATACGCCAAATAGTGTGGAAATTTTGAACAGACAGCGGCTCTATGGCCTACTCTTTTATCGAATTCCAACTACCAAGCGTTATTTTAATAAACACACCCAATGCGTGTACGGTGTTTGGTCCCATCCGAACGACTATACGTTTCCTTTGCCAGACCCTCTATCCTGCATCACTGATAAGAGTGTGCACACCGGTATCGAACACGGGGCATCCAGGTTGGCGAGCCAAAGTCTTACTCACTGCGCCACTGCGTCTCCCATATAGCTAATTACATAATGCTACGGAACGAAACACGTAATGTTTTCGTAATAGTTTTTTGTTTATATATTTTTCTTTGAGGAGGGGGAGAGAGGGATTTTAGTCAGAAGTTGCAGCTAAAATTGTGCATGGTTCAAACATTCTGTCGATGTAGATATTATTGGCCTCCGTGTAACTAATCTATCTATATATATATTTGTGACTGTCGTTTGTCTGTCTGTCTGTCTGTCTGTCTGTTCGGGGTTGGCGGCTACACTAGGTCTGCCCCGAGTCTGAAATTTGGGGTATAGGGGTAGCTCGGACCGGGGAGTAACATAGGCCAGGTGGCGTTAGTCTCCCACTTCCGGTTTCGGAGTTATGACCCCCGAGCGAAGTCTGTATGTTCGGGGTTGGCGGCTACACTAGGTCTGCCCCGAGTCTGAAATTTGGGGTATAGGGGTAGCTCGGACCGGGGAGTAATATAGGCCAGGTGGCGTAAGTCTACCACTTCCGGTTTCGGAGTTATGACCCCCGAGCGAAGCCGGTCTGTTCGGGGTTGGCAGCTACACTAGGTCTGCCCCGAGTCTGAAATTTGGGGTATAGGGGTAGCTCGAACCGGGGAGTAACATAGGCCAGGTTTCGGAGTTATGACCCCCGAGCGAAGCCGGGTATCCTGCTAGTTATTAAATATAAATGGGTCATTTTTGACAAACAGGAAATAAATAGTCTCTGATTGCCCATATCTCGGTTATGTGTCATGTTGATCTTCGTCGGATTTTCATTTTTGGATTCTTTGGACGAATCCCCCAAAGGGGCTCTAGCTGACGGTTTTTCGAAATTCGGAAGTTCGTCGATTAGTTTTAGCATCAATGATTTGCGAAAGTTTTCTTCAGCATTTTTTCGACATTCAAGATGACGTATCTCCGTTAGTATTTGAGGTATCGGTAGAAAACAAAGAACACAATGATTCCTTCAAAATGGCAGATTAAAAGTTTTTGTGACGGCTTCCGGAAACTTCATAAAATTACCGAGGCTTTCGATTTTTCCCGAACATGAATATTTCATTTTCAGAGACCTTGTTCGATAACATTTTCAACCGTTGGCCACCGTATTGGATTTTAATATTCAGCCGCCATTTTGCTTCCTATGTTCGAAAACTTTTTTTTTGGGGGGGGGGGGAGGGGGAGTTGAACCTACTCCAAATGACAATAATTCATAGGGAGACGATTTTTTAATTTCGATTTTATTTACTTTCGGTTTCACTTTGAATTTGGTTTCATTTTTGACCTACTATCTGGTGACCTAGCCGTTCAATGAACCTTGGCCTTTGCATATGGCCACAGATTACTAAATATTTCCCCATTGACTTCAATGTTAATTCTCGTCTCTTAGACCGGCCCTAACTTTTCCCCAAATTTTCGTTGGGTAGAACGCTTTCTGCCACAGACGGGGCAACAGGTGGCAAACTCTTGCCCAAAAGCATGTATGAGGTTCACCATGAAAAACTTGAGATACACAAGCTGGAAGTAGAGACAAGTAAACATGCAATTTTCGACCCTAGATTTCAACCTAACCAACCTCTCAACTCTTGTATCCTTCCGCCTCAAAATCATGAATATTCACCAAAACCTGGCAGAAAATGGAAAATGTATCATCAAACCCTTTTCTTCCATTCTACACCAGAAAGTCACCACAGCTCGCCATGCAAAGGGTGTGGGGAGAGAAAGACTAAAAATAACTTTGGCCCTTGTTTCGTGGGTCACGGCGTAGAAATATTTGATGCTCTGTGTGCATATACTGTCAACTAATATCAAAAAGTTCTATCTTGAAGTATAACTTCCGGTTTTATTAACAGTTCAATATGACAGTTTTTTCCACTTTAGTTGGTATTGGATGTTACTATACTAAATAGTTCATGATGTAACTTTATCGCTGACGCGACAAGACGTGACCTGACGTGACCTCACTTACCGAAACACATCAGTAATGCTTTTAAGCGGTTCTAATTATTTTTAGAGTTGTATACTATATTTTAACTGTTATTTCTAGTTTGTATCCCACCCTAGTTGTCAACAGAGATTGGTTGAACTATGGTATACTGGTATGGGACGATGGGAGAGAAATAGATGGTTTCAACGAATCTTATCCGGCTTTTTATTTATGCTTTATTACCCATTTTTAACCATTGCTTATGTATTTAAACCAAATTGCAAGGTAAGAAAAATTATAATGTCTAAAATGTATTTCTTTGATTCAAAACATAATTATATAACTAACCTAAGACTCTATAACAAGTTTCATTAAAACCAGTCAGTAACTCGATACTCCGTCTTTTCAGACGATTGCAGACTCTGGAACCGAATGTCCATTTCTTTATCCTTGTTGACAAGTTGCTCAGCTGTTATGTTGATATACAATAGGCCTTATTTTGGAAATCGGACATTTTGTATGAACGTCCACTCGAAACAAACTAGGTCATATCGGGACTAACATATGGTTCAATTTTACTTCAATAATTCTCTTGCGCGTAGGGGTAGAGTCCCATATATGATTCCGCGAAACTGACTATATTTTCTATATATCTTACGACGTATCGTCTACAGTGGATTCGGAAGTTGCAATTCATGATATCTTTGTCATTTATGAATGGAATTGAATCATATTTGGATTGATATTTCGTTTAGAGATGCACCTAACACAATAATGTGGTTTACAAGGGATTAACAATCCTTCAAATGTCGCTCATAAATGAAAGTGTTATACTTTTATTGTTCTATATTATTTGATTTAAAGATACATTATGGAAGATTAAATAAAGAGCTGGCAGTTTCCACCATAATAGTTAACAACTTGATAATGTAAAGGTAATTTGCTGAACATTTCAGTCAAATTGATCCACTCTGAACCGAGAATTTAGCGATGGAATTTTCGGCCTAGCCTGGATCATCGTTACACATGTACTAAAGTCTGTACGATTAAAAAATATAGTCTCAATTATCCATTTCATGATTAAATCATGAATGAAAGTTGACTAGAAAATTGGATCCTAATCCAGTAAACATCACAGGCTAGAGATGGCATCGAGAGTTAATTATGATCTGGATCAGTTAATTAATGTCTAATTAATAATTGAGATACCATTTCATGCCTAAAGAAAGACATGTATGTCTAATAACTTACATTTATTTCAGTTTGTTGATGTGTTGAAGTGCCCATTCGTCAAATTTGTTGCCCAGTCTGTGTCGTTTTTCATATTTGTAATGTTAATTACATCATCTATGTTCGAGTCGTCACAAGGTGTATCTAAATATAGAACTTACAAATCAACATTTCCATCGGATCATGTTAAATATGAAATGGTTATCAACTCTACCGGTTGCAGGCCTTTTGGAGATGATTTTCCTTTGAGAACAGAATCGCCTTCAGTACTAACAATACTTATGAGTTTGTGGGTTCTAGGTTAGTAATAATAATATGTTATGAGTGTTAGTGTGCACTGACACTGTGTGTCAATTCTGTATACATACTTTCATTCCAGTATGTTTGGAACATTTAATCCGAAACAAGCGAATAGTAATTATTATTGTGTTGATTCCATCTAGTTAAAGTGGCATTAGGTAACAATATTTAAAGTGCTGACAGTTAAAACATAGATAATGAAAACAAAATATGATGAAACTTTCTGTCAAATTGCTTCACCCTGAACAGAGATATTAGCCATTGAATTTTAGGCTAGTCTCGGTCGTCATAAAATATCGCAAGCTAACGATGGTATCAAGAGTTGATTATGGTCTGGATAACTTAATTATATAATTTCCAAGAAAGACCTGCGGTAGGCAGATTTAGCTTTTGCATAATGCATGTTTTATTTCCATGTTAAATGAGCTAAGTCTCTAACTGAATATGCTCCATAATTAAAAACACGAATGAGAATTCAATATTGACCACTTTAAATCAACATTGATGTTGTTATCTTGCCGTGAAACTATAGGATCATATAGTTATGGTTTCGTGTGCCATTTTGTAATGAATAAATAAAATCATATCCTACAACACAATGTGGAAGTAATTAGTAAAGGCTGATTCACAATCGACAAAATAAGAATTTAAAAAATGTGTAGAATGCTCTAAGTAGGCGTAAACGACTGTCATTCAATTTGAACTGTTCATACATTCATATAACATTAATATGTCCCGTTAGAATCATTTTTGTCTATTTCAAGGTACCAAAAAATATGAAGCCATTTAAGCAAGCGCAACGTACCATTGCCTTCTGTTTTGTCAAAAAGCTAGTTTTATCTATCGTTCGATTTTGTCGGATATATAACAGACATTATGATATTAAAGCTACCTATCTTATTACACTAGATAGTGCTTAGAATTTGGTTGCCTTTGGGAAGGAACAATGTCCTATTTTATCCCAGTCTCTGATAGTGGAAAAATTCGCCTCAGTTAAGGGAGAAGTTATTAGGAATATCAAACTGGGCAACCAGCAAGGTCCCACGTTCGTACACAAGACATGTATCCACTGAAGGTATGGTATGGCATGGCATCACATCTTCTTTCGCCTTGTACACGAATCCACAGACCAGACATTCGTCTCAAAATTCCCCCATGCTGCGCTGAGGGGGGATTAATTAACTAAGTTTCAATAAAGGGTTTCTATTTTTCAGGATTTATGTTTCAAGAATGTAGTCAGATTTATCAGAAGAATTGGAAGGACTATATAACATCATATTATAATGTGATCGATTTTCTTCTTATCTCAGCTTATACAACAAGTTTTACACTTCGATTCGTTTGTATGTATAAGGTACGTTAATAACAAATTCTTCCGACATAACCAGATCCCGTGGACTTAGAAAATTGGACCTCTAAATATGAACTGGGCATATAGCGACAGCGCATTCTCTTTACTTGACGTTTTCTTATAATCCCAGTTGTCGACAGCTACACGTGGAAAAGTTGTAAACACGAAATAGACACCCTTACTCGGATTGGAATGGGGCTTAAATGTCCAACTTGTCTGCACCAATCGTGCTTTAACAGCTGAAATAGCGATTACCTCCCCTTATATAGTCCTTGAACGTGCTGGGGGAGAGAGGTGTGTTTAATACAAGACTAAAGTACGGTAACGTGTGCAACGTAAAGGGGAATGTTTTCCAAAACACCGAGCTTCCGCCAACTGCACCTTTTTTAGAATTGAAAGTAGGATATTTTATATGCACTACCAATTCATACAGTTGATCTCCGCAGGCACGCCTCAACCTCGATAAAATCCAAATTAGAACAATAGATATTCTAGTTAGTTGAATGTCCCCACCACTGAGGTACAATTGGGATTATTTTTTTCTCTTTTATTTTTGTATTTATTGTGTATTTATAGTTTTGGAGCGCTCAACGTGAAATAGAACAATCAACCTCACTTGATCCTGACAAAGCTTTTTACACAATTTATTGGTTAAATGCCGGTAAGATTCTTTATATTATTATTTGTTATTTATTTGACTTCATTGATTAAAACATTGACTTCACCCGGTTATATACGTTTCCGCTTACATATCTTTGAATTTTAACTGTCAAGGCCTTTATTACAATAACTCCTATATACACACAGGTTAACCTCCCAATAGGCACACGTTTCTTGTCTGTCACGCGTATGTCTTCTCCAGGTCCGGCGCAAACAATTCTTGATTAGGGGGAATCTCCCGGGGTCTAGATCGTTAGAGACACTTTGTGGGCTATTTCTGGCTAATAAAATTACTCAGTAAATGAGGTGAAAATTTATTCCTTTTCTAAATCCCTGACCATGCAAACACAGTCGATGGTGGTTTGCTGCGATACCGAACTTGACAAATATATGCATAATAATACCAAGGTTATGAACACTCTATAGTGATCACAATTTTTATACGATTTTGATAACTTGACAATGTATGTTTATAAACGAAATATCTCGGTTTGTTTAGATATTGGCGCATATTGGATCGCCACCTCTTATTTTTATCTTGTGGGCCCTTTACAGCTCACAGTTTTTATTTTATTATAAAAAAAACGTTCAAATATATCGCCGTTACACCATGATTACGGTTGAGTGCAAATTTCGTGAAAATCGGACCGAAACTGCCCGAGAAAATCTCCGCTACCGTTAAAAGTATTTATTACCCAATTTGTGGATCACCCAGAGGTTCGAATTGGACCGGTGTTGGACCGTAAATGAAATGAAATGAAATGGGGTTTAACGTTCTACTGTTCTGCTCCTATACTGGGCTAATGAAGACGGGCATATGCCATACAGTGTGCTATGAGGGAAATTTTGCCCGGGCAGCGGCACTATCGCCTACTCTTATATCTAAGAATCATATTCTTATTTTGAGAGGATGCGCAATAAATACTATCGGTGTAGACTGGAATTACCAGACGCTGGAGATTGCCATTCGATTGAGACCTCGGCGTATTTCGCCGAACATAACTGATTTGAAATTAGAGTAAAAACGGAAACGATTTAATGTAAAATCAGTTTATATATATTCATGTTACATTATTATATCCGTTGTGACGCATTTGTGTCAATTTCTAGGTCCAAAATATTAGCGATTTAGCTCCTTTAAAATATGTGTTAAGGATCAAAAGTTCGTAGAGAGAGAGAGAGCGAGAAAAAGGGGTTTAACGTCCACTCGATACAAACTAGGTCATTCCGGGACTAACATATGGTTCACTTTTTAGCAGTGGGAGGAAACCGGAGGACCCGGAGAAAACCCACGAGGTTGGACAGGCGACCCTACTCCTTGTCACGTACAATTGTTGCCCCATTCTGAGGAAACATAACAAATATGTTAAGGATCAAAAGATCTTGAATAAGAGGATGATAAGGGACACAAGGAAAGAGAGTGAGAAAAACTATATCCCTTCGTTTTTTTAATTACCTAATCTGTTAAGTGTCATAGATACAAATGGGAGTGAGATTGAAATAATGTTCAGTTAACTAATCGTGACTCTCGCAACTGGGGATCTCTCAACCCAGGGATCAGTATAGAGCATTGCAGGGTTTTCATCGGAAAGTCTACGTTCTAGAAGTCTCACTATGTTAAAATCATGTCTCGTATCTAACCGCATAATTACTTGTGTGCGATAACACGGAGAAAGGGGGGAGGCTAAAGACCCCCACCCTAGCTCCGCCGGACCTGTTCTCTGACGACCGAGTGGTTCTTCTTTGCATACCCCGGGACTTTCTACTCTAAATCTTATTTCCATGATCACTCGATTACCATGGCAGAGGATAGGTTGGGCCATTTTGACAAATGTCACAGGATAAGATCTACACCCATTTCTCATAAAACAATTCCATTATACATACTTTCTATATTAGGCGTATTAAAAGTCTTTCAGTATGATTATTAAACTTCTTTCAGTCTACTCCGTCTTCATTAGCACGGATTATGCACAAAGCCAGGACGTTAAACCCCATTTCATTTCTTTCAGTCCCCTGGGTGTCTGTGTCCTTGTACATTTTCTTCTTTTCTGTTTTTAAACTAGGATTCCTCCCTCAGACTATAATCATGAACTTATATTGTGTTTCATTTATTTCCCTCCGGAGCTGGGATAATATTTAATTGATCGCGATATTCTTTAGAGTCATTTCTGGTATTCTTCTACTGGAAAGTTGGTGATAAGTTATCTTGATTAGCACCTCGTTTTGACACAAAACAAATAACTAGCCTGAAACCAAGGGATATTAAAAAGTATTTAATACCCTTGAGATGGAAAGAAGAGACAATAATTACAGCTTATTTTTAAAATCTTTGCAAATTTCTTCCCACTGAGTTGGATTTAATTTTTTTAAAAATGAAAAGACCACAGAAAAGGCGTTATTCGTGTCTCGCATGTATTCTCGGCGAATTTAAAGGAAACAATGGCCCTGATTTGGAATATATATTCATAGTTTAATATGGCAAAATCTTTATAGTGTTTAAAAACCTAGAGGGGATTTTAACAAAAAAAACTGTGCTACGTGTCTGGTCGTCATACAATTGAGCCAGTCCTTTTCTTTGGTTGACTTATTACGTACTGATATGGAAATCGAAAAGTTTTTTTAAAAAAAGAAAAAAAAGGTTTTCTTGTCTAGTTTGTCAGCAAATTGAGACAGCCCCATTCTTTATTTGCCTTTATTACCCACTTATATAAAAATAAATCGACAAATTTGGTGATGTATATTTCACGTTTTGTATTTCGCATTCATAGGCCTATAATAGAAAGAACACGTTTACACAATTTGAGCTTTGATCGAATTTGAATCGCTGCTTACTGGTACAAAAATATACGACTTCCATTGTATCTAAGACGAAGATTGATTTAAGTTCAAACTATTTTAGCAAGGAATATTATTATTAAATAATTCTCTTCCTGCACGGTATGAATTGTCCAGCCCACACACGTTTCACTAAACGTAAAGGCTTTAAATTGAAAATAAAAAGCGGGGGAATTGTGAAGTGAAATCTCATGATAATATCCATGTTTAGAAATTAGCTGGCTGTACAAAACGCGTGTGTACATTTTTGCATTCATCAGAAAAAGTATCTCTCAGTCTCATGGCATGCTACTTCAAATAATATATATATATTATAATATTGTTTTTAGCATGTCGAATAAAATGATTATATCTGGTGGCAAAATCACGAATAATAACAAACTACCAGGTCACTGTGATATTTAAAGAAGATGAGCCCCTAGAAGTTAATGCACAGAATCGGGCTGGCTTGATGTGTTTTTTATTAATGATAGCTGTGCGATTAACTTTTAGCTCTGAAATGCTAGACGGAAATATAGTTTCGCTTGTAATTTATGCTCAAACATTTACTGAGAGTTCTCCATTAAAAACGGGGGTCACGTTGGCTAAGTGGGTAAGACGCTGGCTCGCTAGCCTGGAGGTCGGGTGTTCGATCCCAGCATTGGCCGAGAAAGTTCATCCAGATTTTCCGGCATGGTTCCCCCTTGTCGGTGATGCAGGATGAAAGGCCTGACAAGAACAGCTGTCTAGTCGTTCGGAAGGGACGAAAAACCGTGGTCCCGTGAACATATTGGCGTGTACGTAAAAGATCCCTTGACAGTTGGAATTTGATCTAAGAGTAGGCCGTAGAGCCACTGTCCGGGCACGATTTCCCTCATAGCATACTGTATGGCGTGTGCCCGTCCGGAGCAGAACATTAGAACCTTAAACCCCATTTCATTTCATATCATTTCCATTAAGAACGGTGTAGTTTCCCCTTGGTAGTTGATATAGCACGGAACAGTGTCTAGTCGTTCGGATGGGACACAAATAAAGTTAGCGTGTACGCATTGTCTTGCACGTAAAAGAACCCCTGGCAGTTGGAATTCAAAAAAAAGAATAGGCCTGTCTTCGTTTACGATGGATCAAACTTGACTCAGTACACATCGTTATCCCATGGTTGTTTCAGCTTGGTAGCCATTTTCTTTACTCTACACAAGATGCCGAAAGTTATACTAGCGTGGCGTTCTAATTATACTTTGGCACTCTCTAAAAATTTCTAGCAGAATAGGACGGTGCAAAGTGTTACTTTAATTATGAACTAATATTACCAATGTGGTGGAATTATTCCAGATCAAGTTTAACCATTAGGATTGTGACAGGGAAATAATGACGTCTGGTTCTCATCTTATAACAACGACCTATATAAATATAATACCGTAGTTTCATTAACGAATATAATTACCATACTACGCCTTTATGAAATGACATTACTGGGTGTCATTTATTTGGCGCTACCTGACGTGTCATAACTAAACTCAATTAACTGAGGAAAGACACTAGAAGCGGATATTAATCCAGTTATCCCTAACAAAACGCTTAATATCTAGTAGCGCCTCCTTACGCATATCTTTATTGATAACGCCCTGACCGATCAAAAGACATTATTTATTAATATGATTTAACTGATCATATTGTCTTTGTGATCACCCAATGATATAAATTATGATGTGAGTCGATCAATGGTATTGTATCAAGAACCGTTATTGCAATAGGAAACCGGACGTCCTTTTAGTAGGATTACTAGACATAATTATTGATAGGGATGCAAACCATGTAGCTTATTATATTGATGTATAATTCCACAGCAGTCTCAATCTCAGAGAAATGTTTATATACTATATAGTTTCGGAGAATGAGTTCATCGATATATTTTGGGGATTTTATTCAAGGCTATATGGAGGAAATGCGAAATTCAAATGCAGGGTAAATTATTCGTTGAGCTGACTCCAAAATATAAAGACAAAATTCAACAAGGTTCAGTGCAGGTAAAATTAAACTGTAGGCTATCTATACGACCTGCATGGGTTTGTTTGTAAAAATACATCTCGCCCTGGCTCTGCGACCCACGCCATTGATTTGACATAGCCGGTAAATTTAAGTTATCCTGTTGATGAATAAACCGTTTTTCTTGGATAATAAAGGTTCTAAAAAATCAAAGAGAATGAATCAGACTTGAAACACAACAGGGAACCCATTATAAAGAAGTAATTAAATCTTAATGTTGTGGAGACTGAGCCACAAAATATATAAATCAAAATAAAATGATTAAATTTTTCATAGACTGATCCCTATTGTGACATCTGACTTTATAACTTCTTGGTATACGGTTAGCGCTATATGATCATGTCGGCTAAATTTTTCGTCATAGGTCACGAGATGTAAACAGGGCTAGCGCTAATCCCAACCCTAACCCTGACCCTGGACCAAGCCCGAATGCTTACCTACTAACCTACAATCTCGCCAACAATTACGTGTCCTAACCTTATTTACATCTCAGCGACCTTGACAAAAATTGAGCTGACCTTAACAATCAGATTTAGCCTTGCGGGAGAGGGGGAGAGAGAAATGGGGTTTAACGTCCACTCGACACAAACTAGGTCATTTCGGGACTAATATATGGTTCAATTTTATTTTCATAATTCACTTGCGCGTAGGGGTCTTTAGCAGTGGGGGGAAACCGGAGGGCCCGGAGAAAACCCACGAGGTTGGACAGGCGACCCCACTCCTTGTCACGTAAAACCGGGGATCGAAACCACGCCAGTTGATTCAATGACAGACTTTATGGTACAGCGCGCACGTGCTAACCATTCAGCCATCCAACCCCCCATTTAGCCTTGGTATACAGCATGTACGTACATTAATAATATTTACTATCCAGATCTAGTCAGATTGTGATCTTGGATGGTTTTGGTTCACTGACAAAGGCCGTTGCTGAGGAAGAAAAGTCTTTCTAAAAGGTCACGTCCAGTCTATGAAGGATAGAGAAAATGCGATCAAATTAGTAAAGCATGATGAGATAAAATGAAATGGAGTTTAATGTTCTACTTTTTGTCTCCAACCGGGATAATGAAGACAGGTGTATACGCCATATCACTGTCCTTCGATAGGGAAAATGTAAACGGATTCCAACTGTCAAGGATTACCACACGTGCACGCCACCGTGTACACGGAACCTCGTTTTTACTTCCCACCCGAACTAATAGAAAACTGACAAGGGTAACCAAAGTGAAACATCCCAGCGAAATTTCTAGACCTCTTGATATCTGAGTCAAGTACAATGAAATAGTGGGTATTTACATAGAGTCGAGGCCAGTCAACTCTCATTGTTAAAAATTCCCTAGAATGTTTCCTACTTGAGCTTGTGTATCCCATTTTGGAGGATTTACAGATTTATATTTGGATTTGATTTCCCTTTCTTTACGATATTCTTTTCTGTGTTGAATGAAATTTGAACGGTCACATTACGAAACGAAATAGCATCCGTGTTTTAATCAGAAGTAACTAATTTAGTAGTTTGATCTTAAATTAAGTCCTAGTGAAGGGATAGTAAACAAATCTAAGAATGATTTGATTTATAACACCTAATTGAAATTATATATTGATTTCTTTTCCAGATCGATTTTATTGGGATGCCTGGGATCCAATCAACCTATCGGAGGGTCTGTTTGCTTTTGCTAACATATTAAGCTTTGCCAGAATTAGTTACCTTTTACCAGCTAACGAAAGTCTTGGACCTCTACACATATCACTTGGGCGAATGTTAAATGTAAGATTTGATACATTCGTTTAAAGGCGCTATGCGTAATCTTAGCGATATCGCAATACCTTGCGAACTACAATATTGTGAAAGTTGAATCTCCTAATAACTAGGAGTATCAGTCCAAAAATGGTTCAATTCTGTTCATAGTATATACAACGATATGACGCATTGAATATTCCACCGAGCTATGCTGTCCCCTATGCAACGAGACCGCAACCATATCTGTTTGCCGTGACGGAAATTGATTACCCTGTTTTAAAATTGATTGAATCCAGTAAGGGAGCTTATCCGGCGTTGTTCGTTTGATTTGTTTTCTTCAAGAACTGATAAAAAAAATACAATTTAGGTATATATTAGCGTGGATTCAGTCGTGGGGAATTTTATATTTTCCGAAAATTGCAGAGTTACTTTAAGGCAACAAAGATTTATTTACTAAACTTTCTATTTAATTATTTTTAAAAATAAAGGTTATTATTCTTATATTAAATGCCTGAATCAATTAAATAAAATCATCCATATTCCCTTCAAATTAGATTCTTAGTGTTGCTTTATAAAACTATCACAATTTTGACTTTAGTTCAAACAATTTAGTATTTTGGCAAAGGATGTCACTTACTCCAGAATACCCCGGTGATAATATAGGCCACTTGCCTTCTCTATGGTTTGTGACAAATACTCTAGAACTTATTGACCCCAGCTAGTTTTTCAACTCTATATACTTCTGTTTAGTCACGTTCTAATTAGACATGTAATTAATCCCATATGTCATTTATAAAGGAATACGCACTGGTTAGTAATGACGTGATAAGAAGACAATTTCATATATGATCATGAGTCTTATCTATTTTCCTTATTGTCGGACCCTATATAAACAGGAGTATGCTAACAGAGACGAAAGTGGAGAAGAGGGGCTTGGACGAGTGCATGGACTCACCCGCGTTCAGCCGCTGCCTTGTCAGAGGGGCGGAATGGTGGATTTAATATAGTTATGTACCGTCCCGGTGTGTTCTTGTAGTAGTCTAGTTTCTGTTTAATATATGCCCCTGTTGTAGTTATGTAGCTATGTTATATTCTGTTCCAATGTAAATAAGCCCTATATGTACGAAACCGATCTCTGTTATCACTAAGATAGTGTTGTTGTAGAAATTGTTGGTTAGAGTTTCGTTAAGGTTTAGGGCTAGGTCCAGGGTTCGGGTTGGGGATAACGCTAGCCCTGTTTACATCTCATGACCTTTGATCAAATCTGGAGGTCGACTTAAGAAGTAGATCTAACCAAATACATCCATAAAACATTCGCCCTTACCGGATATTACATCATCACATACATTGTAATAATAGTTGTTTTTATAAAATAATAAAGCAATACGTTTTAGAAATGCACAAACCTCCATAAAGTAATAAATGTGTCTACATTTATCCATTGTTGCATTGTTTTGCCTCAACCCTTCTAATAAATACACCAGTTTTGTTTAATAATTACACGTACATTTGGCCATCTTAATATCAGATCGGCACTTTGGCTATTGGGATCTAGACCACCATTAAGATGTAAAAGACATTTTTCATTGGTTGATTGTTTTGTGGGGTTGCTAATTACTTTCACCTGATTGGATGGTTTTATGTGATTGTTCTTTACAGTTTATTTAGATACTAAGACTGATGGGCCTGTTCATAAAACTATCGCTGCCCAATGAAAGAAAAATAACAATGTGACCTTCCGGTTATGCACATGTTAAATGCATAAGTTGTTTCACTATAGAAAATACAAATTGTTAACAATTTTTTAAAATTTTATTTTAAATTTCAGGACATTGCTAAATTCATGATTCTTTTCGTATTTGTAATGGTTGCCTTTATGATTGGCCTACACAATCTGTTTTGGTACTACAGTAATCACGAAAGTCTGGAGATTGAACATAAGAATATACCAAACATGAATGCCAAACAAAGTTTTGGAGAGTAAGTAGTTTGATAAATCATCATTGCTGCACTATGCCCCTGAAATAAGTACGAGCATGGTTAGTTCCCTTTGTCGAAGTACTGAAGACCAGTCAAATCGCACACCGAAAGATGGCTTTTTCAACATCGAAGTTTTATCCTAAGTGTTGTTTATGGATTATATACAATTATATTAAACACGACTATATATCTAACTAATTATATAAAGCACTACTAGATATCTAACTAATGAATAGTCTGGAGGCTCAGTGCGGAGGGGTGTCCATCAAATGGGCACAAAACCAGACCTAATGTAAAATTTTGCGTAGAATACGATGCCGGGGGGTAATCAGTCCACCGTTCGGGCGTTTTCGAGATATTCGGGGTCAAAGGTCAAATGAGGTCATTTGCACTGAAAGTGAATGCGCTGTCAATATTGTATCACGAAAACATGCTGAAAATGATTGAAAGTAATCAACCTATCAATAAGAATGTAAACTTGCTAAAGGTCAAAAGGTGATATTGTCAGTTTTTGCACTAGGAAGATTTAAAGCAATAAAATGTCAGCGTAAAATATAAAAACTAAAGCTAAACCTGTTCTAATTAATAAAATGAAGATTAAAAACTTATCTTTAGGTGGTCTTAGCACCGTACATTTACTTTAGAACGTCGAAAAAGATCTTGCATAACAGAACCAAAACACTGAGCCTGAGCCTCCGGTCTAGAAGCACAAGTTTAGGACATGCAAATTCATCACAGAGAATCCCATGTACTTTTCGTTAATGATAAAATTATGCAAGCAGTTGTGACCACGTTATTTCGGGTCTTATAAAATTAAGACTAAGTCCAAGTAACTTATATGTGATTTATTAAACATATGTGATCTTAAACATAGATAAAACAACAAATATTTACAAGAAAAGAGAGAGATCCGATCCGTTCTAAACCATAGCTCACTCTATGTTTGAAATACAATTCTACAAAATATATAATAGACAATTGTGACACATTGACAATTAAAGTATAAAATATTGCTTCTAAGTTGAAATCTAAAACAATAGTTCGTTTTATAGAGAGTTTGGTTAATGACCAATACTTAATCCCTCCATTGTTTAGACTGTAATGTTTCGTCTAAATTATATCTGACGTAATAGCCATTGGCTGGTTTAATATGGTTCTATAACCCAGGGGCCAGTTGATATTTGGCTGTAAAGAGTTAATTGACTATGTGTTTTTATAAGAACAATATATCACTCATACCAGTGTCTGTTTAGTTCAACACGTATCTTACTTGAGAAATAATTAGGTAAATAAAATATATTAATGTTGTCAAAGATATGTTTAACAAAATGGGAAAAGTAACATTGGTTTTTAATATATAGAAATCATATGACTTATGTCGGTCATACAGTCATGAAATAGTTTTGTTGCTTTCAGTATCATCGGGTTAACGCTGTGCATGAATGTAAGTCCTGTAGGCTCACTCTGTCGGGCTCAAAGCGAATAGATAAAGCTTGGTGGTGGTAGTTTCTAAAGAAATACCAACTTCCAGTTTTCAGGTGGAGTTACCTATTTGCCAGTAATCACCTTTTATCTTGTTATACTCGTCTATAAGCCATGCACATGCGACATGGCAACGTCCCTTTTTTTTGTCCTAGGAGTAATGTCAGGCTTTATAATTACCGCTTACCTAAGCTAACAGACAACAACTAATAATCCGGTTTATCAGGTCACACAGTGCAATAAACTGTGTTGACGATAACTTCCAAACGGTTCATTATTTTGAGCTAAAATTTTCTGACTTGGTTAACATGCTATTCATCAACCTTTCCTTTAACAATGGAAGTCTTTTGTTTAAATATTTAAATATACATGCAATTCTTTCCCTGGGTATTTGACTGACGGATGTTCCCATTCAAACTGTCAAAACGTATTATTCATGTATGTAAAGTTGATGAGGTATTGGCGCGCATTAATCCCAAATCTACTATTTCTTACAAACCAGTAAATGCCATAAGAATGAAAGATGACAAACATTACCAAATAACGACAAGAAAACGAAAGTGAATTCTTTAATTGTTAACGGTTTAAGAGATCCGATTGAAAAATTGACATTTTATTACGTCGGAATTTATTTTCCCTCCCCATTTACATTGTAACATGTAGTTTTACTTAAGTTTGGTTTGAATAATTTGGGGAAAATGGAAAGGAGCCATATCAAAATCATAATAATTATAACATTAGATTGGCAATAATTTATATGGTAAAAGTGCTATTTTCTCTGGGGAATAGATATAACCATATCTTATGTATTTTGTCTGTATATGGATATTTAGAGAGAGAGAGACAGCGAGAGAGAGAGGCAGAGAGGGACAGAGAGACAGAAATGGGGTTTAACGTCCACTCGACACAAACTAGGTCATTTCGGGACTAACATATAGTTCAATTTTATTTCCATAATTCGCTTGCGAGTAGGGGTATTTAGCAGTGGGAGAAAACCGGAGGACCTGGAGAAAACCCACGAGGTTGGACAGACGACCCCACGTACAACCGGGGAATCGAAACCACGCCAGTTGACTCAATGACAGACTTTATGATACAGCGCGCACTTAATGAGTTAATCTTAGGCTTTACATTAGCACATTAGCACTTTGTTTTATTCTAGAGGATTGAGTGGCCTAAAGATTTAACGGATGCACTTTAGATCTCAAGGTCTGTCATGGAGACAAGTGGCGTGGTATCTATTCCCCGTTGGTACGTGACAGGGAGTAGGGTCGCCTGTCCAACACACTGGGTCCTCTGGTTTCTTCAAACTCCTTATAATGACCATTACGCGCAAGATAATTATGAAAATAAAATTGGACCATAAGGTAGCCCCGAAAAGACCTACACTCGATTTCGACAAAACGTTGATATCACATCGTCAATTATAAACAGTAAAAATCCTTAAGCACGCGCTTTTCTCAAATTAAAACATTTCCGAAATAATGTGAAAGGAAATGGTTTGAAACGTGCATTGTGTAGAGTCTAAATCTACCTATTGTGGGACTTTATAGTTTCAAATGTTATACAACTGATTGTTTAGACATTTATTTACAAGGCAAGTCCATAATCAACTCTAAAAGTCACCGGGTGCATGGCTTAGATATTGATTAGATTAGAACACCTTCTCCATTTAATAATTTAAAGATAAAATAGATTTTGGATACTTCGGGGGATTTTTGTATCGTAACGATCGAGACTATCTTGTCAAAACCTCAAACACGCACAACATCGCACAGAATAAAGTAATGTGAGTGAAATTTTCAATAAATTTAATTTCCATTATCTATTTTTGAACTATTATAGGAAGAACCTAATTCATCTATACGCATTTTCATATATATATATTATGTTGTTATTGCAATTCTTTTAGTGTATTATATTTTACAGTGTTAAGGCGACATTTAGAACAGTATTTTGGTCCTTATTTGGACGAGGTGAACCAGATGTTGTTCGATTAGGTGAATATAATAATTATGTAACAGAAGACATTGGATATATTATATATGGGGCCTACAACGCAACATCGGTGATAGTTTTACTGAATATTTTGATCGCCATGATGACCAGATCATTTCAAAAAATAGCAGTAAGTGAGATACTCTTAATATATTTTGGAGCTGCAGTGACTAAGTGAGTAAAACGCTGGGCTTCTAACCAATCGGTATTGGCTGAGAATGTCACTTGGGATTTTCCGGCTCGGCCTCCCCTCCTTGTCAGTGATGCAGGACCGGGGGGGGGGGGCTGGCATGAACAGCGTCTAGTTGTGCGGATGGGATGGGAACCCGAGATCCCGTTACAGATTGGTTTGCATGTAAAAGAAGACCGAAGTGCCGCTGTCTGGGCAAAATTTCCCCCATAGCACACTGTGTAGCGTATGTCCGTCTTCATTAGCCCAGTCGGTGCAGAACAATTGGACATTTACCCCATTACATTTCGTTTCCTAATATATTTTATATGAACTGATTATGCTTGCTATGGCCATCTTCTATCATCCCGCTGACGATAGGGTGAACTGGTTAATGGTAAAGTCTCATAGCTTTAGAGCTATCTTTCTGCTCCAACGAGGCTAATGATCTGAAGGTGCATAATAAAATCCTTCATCGATTTCATACTGTCCATGGTACTTTTACGGGCACACCAATCTGAACGAAAAGGCGCGTTTAATTGTCATATCCCCCTCCTCTCTGTACCACTGACATCGGAAATCCAAGCTGGGAAATCACGATGAACTTTCTCGGACAACACCTGAATTAACTCCGGATACCCATGGTTATTGAGCTATAGCGCCTTACTCACGGCGACACGTTCATTTTTGATGTCTCACTTTAATTGGGGGGTTGGATGAATATTTGCAAACGATCTTATGTCGACTGTATAGATTAAAACCTAGGGTTTAAGCCGTGTGCTACATAGATCATTAGGTCTATCATTGAGTCAAGTAGCGAGGTTTCGATTCCCCGCTGATACGTAACGAGGGCTAGCGTCGTCTGTCAAGTCCTCCGACTTCCTCCCAGGACTAAAAATCCTACGAAATGGCACAGTTTGTTTCGAGTAGGCGCTACCCTCTCCCTCTCTCAGATTTAGATTAAAATCTTGTTGAACAAATTTAAATAAATTTCAGGAAGACTCTGATGCAGAATGGAAGTTTTCTAGGAGTATGTTATATATGGAATATATCGGTGATTCGCCTGTGTTACCAGTGCCTTTTAATATATTGTTAGCCCCTAGGGGGATATTTAAAACTTTATATTGTTCCTGTTGCCAAAGTCCAGACGATGAAGTAGTCACAGCTAAACCGGGTGAAAATCTTCCGGTTGAAGAGTCCACAGGAACCGGGGTAAGTCTTGTATTTTGGGAATTAGTGATAGATAGGGTTTATATTGAAAGTCGACGTTTGGACCGAGATTTCTGTAGAACTGTGAAGCGGATAATTTGATAGTGGCGTATTGGCACCACGATGTGTGCTATAACCAAGATATGTCTAGGATATGAAACTGACTATATTTCCCGAGATTACGACAGCTTTAGTTGATATCGGAGTTTGAATAGGCATATTACTACTTTAGCGCATAGCCGCATCCAGAATGCTATAGAATTTATTATAATCTAAACTAATAGAATCATAATACCAAATGCACAAGGAACAAGATCCAGTCCTCCATACTTGTAAAAGGTCCACAAGTCATCGTTTTGGGGTTTGTCTTTTCTATCCTGCTGAGCTTGCTGTGCTAGCCCTGTGGAAAATGGATGTTTCTTCTATCACCCATACCTGTCTACATAGTTTTAAGTTTTGGAGGGTTTGTCGGGTTTATTGTGCCCTTTGCACCAATATCTTGTAAGCACTCTTAGCTCAAGGTCTTTAGTTATACCCGGAGATACGACACCTTGAACACTGACAATCTTGTTGTCTCCCTTCACAAAAATGTCGTTGTTTGGCATGGCAGAGAGAGAGAGAGAGAGAGAGAGAGAGAGAAAGAGAGATAGAGAAACTGGGTTATTTCGGGACTACCATATAGTTCAATTTCGCTTGTTGGGGTCTTTAGCAGCAGGAGGAAACCGGAGGACCCGGAGAAAATCTACCAGGCAGGACAGGCCATCCTACTCCTTGTCCGGTACAAGCGGGGAATGGAAGCCACGCCACTTGGCATAATGACTGACCTTATGATTCAACGCGCATTAGGCCACCCAATCCCCCATGTTAAAGAAGACATAAGACGTTCAGATTCCACTATCCAGCTCTTACGATGGTTGTACAGATGGTCACCCCTCCGGCATTATATTGATATAACTTTATAAAATGTGAATAATTTTAAAGTAGAGGGTGTCGGATGCGAGGCAGAGTATGTCTACTTTATTGAAAACAACTGATACTATGTTGTCATGGGAACGACGGTTATATTGGCACGTATCCTTGATGAATTACCACTACCAAAACATTATTTAAATCATTGTGTGTTGCCATACTTTTTCTATTCTGTTGCACAATAACCAAATAATCCCATTAATGGTAGAGAGCTCAAAACTCACTCAAAACAAAAGATAGCTATTTCCGGACTTGTTTGTTCAAAGCATATTACTGTAGAATAGTATAGCTAAATGGGTCTACTTTTCTGAGTGATATTTGATTATGAAAACACAATTACGGTATTTTTGTCCTGGTTAATTTCCACTTATTATTTATGGTACCATTTCCAATGCATATAAGATATATTCACCTGCGTCACTTTTTGCTACCTAATCCATTTCGTGCTTACGATATTCGTTTTGTTTACTTCTTTTTTGGTCTTTTCTGTCCCGAGGTCCATTGATTATGTCCAATTCATCGTCTATTGTTAATTCCCACGGCACCCGTTTAAAATAGAATCTGACCACCTTATATTCTACAATGCCGTTGCTTTACCTCCCCGCCTCCGATCCATGGAATAATGGAATAAAACGAAGGTGAGGTTCGAGTTAAACATCTGCAGTTATGTATGTACTAGATACAGTTTGTTCTTTGGCCATACGCATTGTTATGCGGTATCGACGATAAAACCTACATATTATTCTTCACCGCTTCCTTCAATGTTGATAGGATCGCCCAGTTTAGCGATCACATGTAAGGTATTCGTTTTCGTTGTTTTTATCTCTGGACCAGTAGTCGTCTTTGGCAGTACTTGTTGACGGGTGTGAGATAAGAGTCCAACATCATCTGCAAAATACTTAATCTCTCCATTCATCGAGGAACTCCCGTTATTGTTTTATGAATGGAAAGATTAGGAATGATAATAAAACGCCACTTCTATATACGCCTGATCAAGTACAGAGTATGCGATCTGCTCATTTACTAAGCAATTTATATATATATATATTATGCATCCATTTTATAAATTATTAAATATTCATAGATCAGGCGAAGGATTTGTTGTGTTATGCATGTGAATTTTAGAGAATGAGTTAATTTGATTTTGTATCCTCCCTCTATAAGTCTGGTTTTCATTACTCGTCAAAATCATTCTCGAAAATCCAGATTTTGCTAGTAAATTCCTATTTCAAGAAAACGATACACGTTCACGATGAGGTTTTAATATCTTCCGTTCATCCAATCACATGTGGAATGACGATGGGTCCAGCGTAGGTGTAATTGAGTAGTGTGTTATCAGATTATTGTTTTTACTGTAATGACTTTTTACTTCGTTTATCATTCCAAATTTGACACTGGAGTAGTTGATCAGAACTGCGAACAGCCTGAAGGATCCCAAAAATAAATATGGCAACTAACCGAAACGACTTATTTCCACAAATTACAAGAAATAATAACAAAAAAGTCACACGTACCAAATGTTATTTCGATCAAGCGATCTAATTATGTAGCACCTTTATCATTAAAATGATAACATTTATGTTTAATGACAACGACAAGGCGATTCTAAATGTTTTGGTATGCATGGAACTTTGCTTAACGACAAAACAGTAAACTTTCTCATTTCTGTGTCTAAAAGTAAATTTTGGTGAAACTTTTCCAGGAAAAAAAATGCGTTTCATTCTTAATCGGTTCTATAATTGTGATGTAGGAATTTAATGTTGTCTTTTTTTACGTTTAAAATTTTTATATCGTTCGAAATTCTTTACATGTCTGTATAATAATTAGACCGTTTATATATGAATATATATTTATGCGTGTGTGAATTATTTGCAGGGATGAAGGGATGGGTCGGTCGGTTGGTTCATAATATTCTCAGATTTTAAAAGAAAAGAAATAATGTTGTCTTTTTTACGTTTTAAATTTTTATATCGTTCGAATTTCTGAACATGACTGAATAGTTATTCAGCGATCATATATTTATGTGTCGAGTTCATTGTGGGGATAAATGCGTGTGTCGGTCGTTTTATAGAAGTGTTCAAAATATTCTCAGAATTTAAAAAAAAACAAACGGAAATCTATTTTGATCTCATTTAGTTTTAAAAATCTAAGCCGGGAATTCTTGTGGGGATGAATGCGTGTGTCGGTCGTTTTATAGAACTGTTCAAAATATTCTCAGAATTTAAAGAAAACACACTGAAATCTTTTTTGATCTCATTTAGTTTTTAAAATCTAAGCCGAGAATACTTCCTGTATGTGATGGCTTGTCATTTTGTCCTTGATTACTAATTAGTTCTAACTATAACTTCTTATAAGCACCATAAATATGATTTATTACCCAATATTAGTATTTCATAATAGTTAGGTATAGCATGTGGTATTATTTGGTAGTATTTTTTTTTATTTAGTATTGTGTGTTATTGGATAGTATTGGATAAATCGTACTGCCCCGCAGTGACTAGCTCACCATGGACAATTTGTTGAGACAAAATAGAAATAAACGCATTTAGGTAATATTTCGTTTAATATTTAAAACAGAATGTTCCTAGATTCCTATAAATTATATGGCCATTAGTAGACACGTTATGACTTTCAAATAATATAATTCAGGTGACATAATAATTTGTCAAGATAGATTTTGCTTTAGCAATATTATGATCTTGCTTATTTTATCTTATTTTATATTTGATGAACATTTATATAGTCTAGGTCAAACAGACATAAAATCTGACAACAATACTTTGTTCGGGTTTTTGTTTAGAAATATTATTATTATTATGCATTATTAATGAAAAAAACTCGGGACACGGAAGCCGAAAATATCTATCATTGATTTAGTTATTTACTTATTTACTTTAATTTGCAGTATTCGACTCACTTGTATCAACACACAAATTGTGTTATCTGTGAAAGTTCGTTTAATGATTTACAAATACATGCGGAAAAGTAAATGTTAAAGACTCCGAACTTGATTTTAGCGCTATAGAATCCCTTTTAACCTACAATATTGTGAAAGGTGAATCTCTAATAGCAACATCAATCCAAAATGGTTCCAGTCCGTTCAGTAATTAAAAGGATATGACGATGTAAAATTTTCATCTACCTTTGCTGCCTACTATTTAGTAAGCCCGTCACCGTCTTTAACAAATTGATGGACCTAGTTCAAATCCGATTGATTCCAAGGTGGGGATTATCAAGCGTTGGTATTTTGGTTTTCTTTTCAAAATTAAATCTTAATTAAAAAATAATTACCCTGAATACCTATTAACCCCTGTTTTATATTTTCCGAAACATGCAAAGTATCGTTACTTTAAATAACAAATTAGTTTAGCTAAATATTTCTTTACTCGTTCATTGAAGGAGTAATCATATCACTTAGGTAATCCTATCCCAGTACACAGGCCGTAATCCAAGACAATAAGTCCGTGAAAGGATGCCGCATTCTGATTAAAACACAGATACTATTTCCCGTCTTTTTTTATAGGTCAAAATTTCGTTTAACATGGTTTCACCTTACCAGGATCCGGAAGAGTTGTTAAAAAAACTCGCGTTCTGGGTGATGCTATTTATTGCCAACAAAAAGATCTGTTGAGTCGAATTCAAATCGTGTTGCGCACAAGACTGTGGGTAGACATTCGCAGCGATAGAAACAAATCAAAGCAACAGTTGCATATAACTCAATTACATGGAACACAAGTTACTTATAAGTATATTTCTGGTGACATTTAACCATTTGGAACATCTCTTTATCTAAATTTTGCATGGATCTTTAAATAAGAATTGAAAATTTTCGTTTGCTGTCTGGGATTTGATTTACTAGAAAAATAGGTTAGGAACCGCTATTAACAAATACGATGGATAAAATTGTATAGACGAAAAACAATCATTTAATTATAGACGCTAATTCAAAGGTCGACCATCTTAGTACGTGCGGGATAATTGGAGAAGTATATTGCGTTGGACATTAGTAATTACTAATTAAATGAATACTTAAT